AACAACATACAAGAAGTTTTGTTTAAAAAAAAACAAAAACCACACTTTTGCTTTTTCTTTTTATTGAGAAATTAAAAAAATTGAACAAACGATATTATTCACTAAAAAAATACGTTAAATTTAATAATAAAATTTAAAATTACCTTTAACGAGAATCAAATATAAATTTATTAATAATGAATAATATTATTATACTCTAGTACTAAATGGTAATATTAAAAAAAATTAGTAATTAGAAAATGGATCAAAATTGTCTGCCCTTCGAGTTTTCATCCCTTCCACTTTATCAATCATTTATTCCATAACAAATTAATTTAAGGCTCCAGATTTCGCCACGTCAGCAACAACACTCAAGCTTCTTTAATGCCCAATTTTTCTGTTTTTCCCGCTGCCTTTCCCTCCCACTCCACTTTTCCTGCCGTAAAATGAACCAAGATTGTGAAGATGTTGGTGATGATGAAGATGTTGTGTGCACAGTTTTGCACCTTATGGTGCTTTTATGGAACCACATGTGAGGAGGAGAGAGAGAGAGCATTGAATTTTGGCAAGAGCAGCGAAGACTTTCCAATTGCTGTGTTGTGTTCTGAAAGAAAGAGAAAGCAGAGAGGAGAACGCAGAGCAATTGATGCAATAAGAAAAGCAGAAGCAGAAGTACTTCTTACTCGGAGGCCGCAGAGAAATAAGGGAAATGGAAACATGCGAAAGACCAAGGTGACAAGCCCATCTGCTTCTTCCTAAAGCCCACTCTTTTGCAGCACCAAAATCTGCAGATTCAAAATTTTACAAAAATATTTACGGCAGGAAAATTGAGTGGGAAGGAAAGGCAGCGGGAAAGGCAGAAAATTGGGCATTAAAGAAACTTGGGTGTTGTTGGTGACGTGGCGAAATCTGGAGCTTAAATTAACTTGGTATAGAATGAAAGGTGGATAAGGGATGGAAACTGGGGCAGACAATTTGGTCCTTAAAAAATAAAGAAAGTGGATGAGACGAGTACAACAAGGAGTGTGGGACCCATCAGAGTTTAGTTTGCTGCGTAGCGTTGTATTTTTGTATGAGTTGGCTCAGTTGGAGAGCGTCGGAAAGGACCTTTCGTGTTGGCTTGTGCCCATTGTTTTCTTACCTTTCACTATCGCCCCACATTGTGTCACCTCAATTGTAATTTTTTATTTTCCAAATCAACTATGATTTTTCAGGACTCAAATATTCAACGAGTTATGGAGACTAATAAATTTCTTTGCTGTTTTTTTGTTTTAATAACCGTTAGGGGCGTTTAATTGATTGGATTCGGATTGGATTTTCGTTTCGTTTAACACCAATTTTAGCTTAAAAATTGTTACTCTTATCATTTATTTTTATTTATTTTTAATTGAGATAGAATTCACATATGTTTGTAGGTTTTATTCTATTAGGAACAGAGTACAAATAAATGGTAAGCGTATTATTACTCTTTCAACTTAGATCAAATATGTTCGACAAAAAAAAAAACTTAGATCAAATATGGTTAACAGCTGGATAAGTTAATACATTTTCTTTACAAGGATATTTTACACTCTTTAAAATGAAGGGCCAAAGTAGAAGCAAGTCAACCTAATTCATTCTCTATAATTAGCCAAGCCAATCCACTAGTAGAAAAAACACTTTGCGCGACGCAGCCAAATTCGTCGCGCAAAGTATGTTTGCGTGACGTCAAACACAAAGCGTCGCGCAAACGGACTTCGTGCGACGGAAGTTTGCGCGACGAAGACCGACGTCACGCAAAAGTGTTTTGCGCGACTTAACTGAACCTACGTCGCGCAAACTTGTTTTGCGCGACCAAGACCGACGTCGCGCAACTTGCCGTCACGCAAAGGCCGTTTGTGCGACGTTTTGTGCGTCCCGCAAGATTTTGGCGCCAAATATAGATTGCTTTACCGTTTTTTTCATTGACTTTGCGCGACGCAAGGCCACCTACGTCAAGCAAACCAGCTTAGCGTGACGGATGTTGACCTACGTCACGCAAAGCTGTTTTGCGTGACGTAGGTGGCGTCGCGCAAAGTCAACGACCTTTTCTTACTTCATTTAATCAGTTACCTCCCTCCCCCATCTCTCTTCAAAACATTCTCCATTCTTGGCGTATGAGATCTTGAAGCATATAAAAACATGTTTGACAGTTTGATCGTTGAAATTAATTTCGTACAATGCGTTTCCCATCAAAACAATTGATTTACTAACACTTAGAGTTTAATTATATTTTCATTAAGTATAACTTCATATTTTGTGGTATCCGCTTGTGTAAATACTTTAAATTGACGATCGAATATGTTCATTGTATTCATAAAGGGTCAAGGAGTGTATCTGTAAAAAATTCATCAAAATCGGAGTTAAATGTACCGCTAAATCGTGATTTTTCGTTTATAACCGTCGAAATATTTTGTCATGTTACTTGATCTCTGCATGTTCGTTTTTTTGCCATTCTTGGCGTATGAGATCTTGAAGCATATAAAAACATGTTTGACGGTTGGATCGTTGAAATTAATTTCGTACAATGCGTTTCCCATCAAAACAATTGATTTACTACACTTAGAGTTTAATTATATTTTCATTAAGTATAACTTCATATTTTGTGGTATCCGCTTGTGTAAATACTTTAAATTGACGATCGAATATGTTCATTGTATTCATAAAGGGTCAAGGAGTGTATCTGTAAAAATTCATCAAAATCGGAGTTAAATGTACCGCTAAATCGTGATTTTTCGTTTATAACCGTCGAAATATTTTGTCTTGTTGCTTGATCTCTGCATGTTCATTTTTTGCCATTCTTGGCGTATGAGATCTTGAAGCATATAAAAACATGTTTGACGGTTGGATCGTTGAAATTAATTTCGTACAATGCGTTTCCCATCAAAATAATTAATTTACTAACACATAGAGTTTAATTATATTTTCATTAAGTATAACTTAATATTTTGTGGTATCCACTTGTGTAAACACTTTAAATTGACGATCGAATATGTTCATTGTATTCATATAGGGTCAAGGAGTGTATCTGTAAAAAATCATCAAAATCGGAGTTAAAAGTACCGTTAAATCGTGATTTTTCGTTTATAACCGTCGAAATATTTTGTCTTGTTGCTTGATCTCCGCATGTTCGTTTTTTGCCATTCTTGGCGTATGAGATCTTGAAGCATATAAAAACATGTTTGACGGTTGGATCGTTGAAATTAATTTCGTACAATGCGTTTCCCATCAAAATAATTAATTTACTAACACATAGAGTTTAATTATATTTTCATTAAGTATAACTTAATATTTTGTGGTATCCGCTTCTGTAAACACTTTAAATTGACGATCGAATATGTTCATTGTATTCATATAGGGTCAAGGAGTGTATCTGTAAAAAATCATCAAAATCGGAGTTAAAAGTACCGTTAAATCGTGATTTTTCGTTTTATAACCGTCGAAATATTTTGTCTTGTTGCTTGATCTCTGCATGTTCGTTTTTTGCCATTCTTGGCGTATGAGATCTTGAAGCATATAAAAACATGTTTGACGGTTGGATCGTTGAAATTAATTTCGTACAATGCGTTTCCCATCAAAACAATTGATTTACTAACACATAGAGTTTAATTATATTTTCATTAAGTATAACTTAATATTTTGTGGTATCCGCTTGTGTAAATACTTTAAATTGACGATCGAATATGTTCATTGTATTCATAAAGGGTCAAGGAGTGTATCTGTAAAAATTCATCAAAATCGGAGTTAAATGTACCGCTAAATCGTGATTTTTCGTTTATAACCGTCGAAATATTTTGTCATGTTACTTGATCTCTGCATGTTCGTTTTTTGCCATTCTTGGCGTATGAGATCTTGAAGCATATAAAAACATGTTTGACGGTTTGGATCGTTGAAATTAATTTCGTACAATGCGTTTCCCATCAAAACAATTGATTTACTACACTTAGAGTTTAATTATATTTTCATTAAGTATAACTTCATATTTTGTGGTATCCGCTTGTGTAAATACTTTAAATTGACGATCGAATATGTTCATTGTATTCATAAAGGGTCAAGGAGTGTATCTGTAAAAATTTCATCAAAATCGGAGTTAAATGTACCGCTAAATCGTGATTTTTCGTTTATAACCGTCGAAATATTTTGTCTTGTTGCTTGATCTCTGCATGTTCATTTTTTGCCATTCTTGGCATATGAGATCTTGAAGCATATAAAAACATGTTTGACGGTTGGATCGTTGAAATTAATTTCGTACAATGCGTTTCCTATCAAAACAATTGGTTTACTAACACTTAAAGTTTAATTATATTTTCATTAAGTATAACTTAATATTTTGTGGTATCCACTTGTGTAAATACTTTAAATTGACGATCGAATATGTTCATTGTATTCATAAAGGGTCAAGGAATGTATCTGTAAAAAATCATCAAAATCGGAGTTAAATGTACCGTTAAATCGTGATTTTTCGTTTATAACCCGTCGAAATATTTTGTCCCCGTTACTTGATATTTGCATGTTCGTTTGTTGCCATTTTTGGCATACGCGATCTCGAATCATATACAAACAAGTTTGACGGTTGGATCGTTCAAAATATTTTTCGTACAGTGCGTTTCCTTTCAAGTTCAGTGGTATATATATTTACTATGTAGATTTTAATTTATTTATTTTGTAGTTATAACACTTAAGAGATTGAATGATATATATGTTAAAAAAATTATTATGGATTTTTGTTAGAAAAATATATTATTGTGGGGTTTAAGTAAAAAAAAAAGAATTGAACTTGAATGGAGTAAAATCACATTTTCAGTAAAATTTTTAATAATTTTTTAAAAAATAAAAATAACTTGCGTGACGCTTTAATGTAATCGTCGCGCGCAAAACCACTTTGCGCGACGTCAAATTGTATACCTACGTCACGCAAACTTGATAATTTTGGCGGTGAATAATGAAAAATAGGTGAATAATGAAAATTTTTGGCGCTGAACCCGTTGACCTATTTCTTCCCTTTCGCTCTTTCTTTCCCGTATCTCCCCTACCCTTTCGCATAATCCTTCATCTTTCCCCTTTCCCGTATCTCCCTCTCGCTATATCTTTCCCTCATCTACTCTTCCCCTTTCGCATTATCTTCATCTTTCCCCGCATAATCCTTCATCCCAATTAGTTGCAGCAAAAGAAAATTTCTTAATTGTGGATCCGCAAATGCTTCATCTTTCCCCTTTCCCCTTTCCCGTATCTCCCTCTCGCTCTATCTTTCCCTCTCGCCCTCTCGCTCTATCTTCCCCGTCACTCTATCTTCCCTTTCCATAATCCTCATCTACTCTTCCCGTAGTCCTCATCTCCTCTATCTCTCATTTTCGCCTTGATCCCCAAATCTTGAACCCAGTACCGCAGCCACACGAATCTCGAAGCCGACGTGAATCAAGTCTCAAATTCAAGGTAAGGGTTTCTGATGCAAATGTTGGTCTGGTTACTGAATTTAGCTGATGCAAATCTCGAAGGCTTCAACATTCGAAGGCTTGACTGATTAATTTATGATTATGAGATGGGTTTTGTTTAGTCTCCAATAACTCTCAATATCTCTGATTTTATGAGATGGGTTTTACTGATTAATTTATGCAAATGTTGGTTTGGTTGAAATAGCAATTGAGTCTCCAACATTCGAAGGCTTGACGTTCTTGTGTGGTGTTTTTCTCCCTCTGTGTGCAGACGGTTCCTGCTTGTCAAAATCTCCAAGGCTTGACGGTTCCTGCAGACGGTTCCGGCTTGACGTTCTTTGCTGCTCCGTATAAATTAGCTTGAGGGTGAGCCTATCACTGTCCCTCACCTAATTGTAAACAGCAGTTTCTCAGCAGCCTCACCTACTTGTGGGGTTTCCTTCTTTGAATGGTTTTAATATGGTATTCCTGACGTTGCTGTTATGTAATTGCCTTTTCTTTTCAAAATTTCCCTTAATATGATATATGTAAGAAAAGGAGGGCGAGGGTTTTGGTTTACAGTGAGGGATGAATGGGCACTATTCAGCTTTGAATTTACAGAAATGCCAAAAATTTAACTCTTGATATGTTTCGTGTGTTAAGGAACTAGTACATCAAACTGTAGAGCCAATAGGTAACTTACTATTGGGCTTTGCTTCTCATTAGACTTGGTCTCCAGTCTCAGCCAGAATATTCTCCAGTGAAGACTCAATTTTCAATACAACTCCAGTGGATGCCTTTACCAAACCAAAAATGAATAAACGTAAAATGAACCAATAGAAATACAATTCCATTATGATTTCTTGAAAAATGTGTAGAGTACCTTTTAAATTGTTGCTCGTCCTCAGGTCTTTGAGAAGTCTCTGCTATGCACTTTAACCCTTGATGAGGTACATATGTTCTTATAATTGATTTGTCTTTCTGTCTTTGTATCTAAACATGTGACAATATTTTTTAATATCTTTGTTCATTGAGCTTCTTTTCTTTAGTACCTAGATTTGTACCTCATCCGCGTAGATGGCTTAAGAAGAAGAATATCATGCGCTGTTGAAAGAGAGCATGGCTTGGAGTATTCATTAATCAGGGAAACCTTTCAGGTTTGTTTTTATTTTTCACTTATATAAAAACGTAATTCATTTTTGCGGCGAAGTTACAAGGAAAACTAGTTGGGATTAAACTTACCACAATTACTAAATTGCAATTAAATTGTATGTGTCTCTTGGTCTTCTAAATTAAGTGAGGTTTGGTCAGGGGTGGGTGGGGTGGGATTACAGGTGTTACATTGTTGTTTGCATATTCACTAGCTTGTTATTTTGTATATAAGCGTAACTCAGCTAAGTTTATTACGAAAGTTGCTTGACAAGTGCTAAATTGCTGATCGGGCATATGTCAAGTTTTGTTTAAACTGCTGAAATGGCATGCTGTTAAATGGAAGAATGAATAGAGAGTACTAGTGTATTTGGATATGTTTTTCGGTGATTACTGCCTAGTTGGTTGTTAACATAATTTTTTTTATTCTTCTGCCTGGAATCAGGTGGAAGGTTGCGTTATATGTTTGTTAAAATCATTGTGTCTCCTGCTGTCATCTCCGGGATGACTAGAGCACATGTAGTGAGCAGTCTTGCAATTTTTTCACACATGGTTTATTTGTTCAGTTTTCTTGCCTTTTTCTTCTAGTTTCAAATGCAAGAAAGGATTAGTTTCTAATGTTATATTTTTTATGGTTCAAAAAGTGTAGATGTCGCGGTTGATCACTCGTCGTAGGAGTGTGACCAATGCGCCTCCCGCATTATCACCATCTACTGCTCCGGCCGTGAGTGCTCCATTGATTGGGGAGCCTACACCTTTCATTGAGGCTACTGCTACGACATCCCAGGTGCCATTATCATCGACGTCATCAGTGTCCGTTCAGTTTTCTCAATGCACGGCGGCCTCACCGGCGCCGCCGTGATTCAGAGTCTTCTATTCACAGTTCCTCGTCATCCAGAGTCGAGGATGGGGGCTCCCCTCCAGGTAGTTTTTTTTTTCTAATTCTCATTATGTTGTATTTTTTTTTCATTTTAAAATTATTATTTTTATGATTGTGAAAATCTGCTGGATTGTGAAAATCTGTTACGGGTTGTGAATTACTGTTATTTTACTTTTTTAAGGTTTTGGGAAATGATATATTGTTAGGGGAGGTTTTGCAGAATTTTTTGTAGAAATTTAAGCTTAGGGTTTTTCACCATAGTTTTTTTTGGGCAGCTAAAAAAAAACACCAGGGGGCCTAATCGAATGCTGAAGGCGGCACAAATGGTACGTCTGTCCGCCTCCTTGATCAAGATTGCATATGACTCGCGACATCGTGGAGCGGCTACCTCACAGCAACATAGTATCGTCGTTACTAGCTGTGGTTATGTTATTAAAAATTGTTGTCCTATGCAATGGAAATCTTGGGTAGAAATTCCCGAGGAGACGAAGATACTGGTGCGAGACAAGTTGTCGGTTAGTATATTAATTTTTTAGCCTTTTGTCATTTTTTTTTTCAATTATGTTTACAAATATTATAAGCCAAAGTGTACTATCTTAATATTATTAAATTTCTTACTATTATTTTGTTGTTTTTCATATTTGTAGGTCAATTTTGATTTTAAGGACATATCCCCCGAGGTCATCACCTACTTAGATGAGACCTTTGCAAACCGGTACAAAAATTGGAAGAGCGATCTTCATGCGCATTTTAAGATATGGGGTGATGTGGAGACTGCTCGCCTACAGGGTTGCCCATCCGAGTTGGCGGACCGGCGAGAGGATTGGGAGTGGCTTTGCAACCATTTTACGGACCCAAAATTTGTGGTATGTACATAATATTTTAATAATAATTCATTAATGTTTTAGTTATTTTTTTAAGCATTTTAAAATAATTGCTTTTAAATCGTCACACTAACATCTATATTATGTGTTTCACAGAAGAAATCTATTGCTGGCAAGATTGCTCGGGAGTCAAAGACACTTCTCCACCATTCCGGTTCGAAACCCTTTTCGTATAGGCTTGAGGCACGACGTGAGGTAAAAGTATATTACTTTTGAAATTTTATACAATTTATTTTTTATTATTGATTAATAAAATTTTCTTAATGTTTTTTTTTTTCTTCAGGAGGGTTCTAAGTTCCCAGAGATCGACGTGTTCAATGACGTTTACGTTCAACCTGGCGATGAGACCAGTGAGCAGCTTTATGTAAGTATATGTAATTGTTATTATTCTTATATTTATGAATCGTTCAAATAATATTTATATTTTGTTATTAAACATTATATGTTTTTTTTTATTATTACAGGCTTCTATGGTGGAAAAGCGTGATGTTGTTCTCCAAGAAGCAACATCGCAACTTCCCCCGGATACCCCGATTGAGGACGTCACTGTATCCGATGATGCAGGTTTTGAGATCATGACTGAGGTCCTGAATCAGAAGTTCGGTCGTCGTCATGGCAAAGTTGTTCGGGGCATGGGGAAGGCGCGTGTTCGTGAAACGGGTGCCTCCTCTTCCAGATCGACCACAGGAGAGGTCAATGCTCTGAAGGAGGAAGTGACAACCTTAAAAGGTCAGCTTGTAGCCCAGAATGAGCAGATGAAGGTTCAGAACGAGCAGTTGAGGGCCGAGAACAAGCAGATGAAGGCTCAGGTTAGGACCCATGACGACAAGATGAATATGATTCTACAGGCCTTAGCGATATCCGGTCTTCAAATCCAGATGCCATCACCTGATCTTGTTCCACCTTCGACTTCCCAGCCATTTCATCCAACTGATACCTAGTAGTTTGATGTATCAAACCTAGAAGACTACTTATTGTAGTTTTTTCTTTTTTTGTTCGGACATGTTGTATGTATATTTTTATGTAGTTTATAATTAAATACTTTTTATTGGTTTATTATTTATTTTTTAGAATTGAATTACAGTATTTATTAAAAAATTATATCAAAACTTTTTTTGTCCCCAAAAAAAAAAAGTTTGCGTGACGAAGAAGTTGCATAGGTCACGCAAAGTGCCTTTGCGTGACGCACAATCCTACGTCATGCAATTTTTTTGTCCAAAAAAAAGTTTGCGTGACGACGAAGAAGTTTCCTACGTCGCGCAAATATCTTTGCGTGACGCATATACGTCGCGCAAAGTAGCTTTGAGCGACGCAGGCAACTTCTTAGTCGTCACGCAAAGTAGCTTTGCGTGACGTATATCTACGTCACTCAAAGCTACTTTGCGCGACGTAGGTAAGTGCGTCACGCAAAGTGGCTTTGCGCGACGCATGCAACTTCTTCGTCACGCAAACCCTGCTTTCACAGGCTTGGCGCGACGTGTGGTGCGTGACGAAGGTTCGTCGTGCAAAAACTTGCGTGACGTTTTTATGACTTTGCGCGACGAAGGACCTACGTCACGCAAAGTGTTTTTTTTACTAGTGATCCTATGTATTAAACATGTCATATATATTGTGAAGGTTTATAGCTTCAATGATTAAGAATAGTTGTATCTATAAAACTTATATGAAACAATTAACCGATACATGGTTTCCGTATCCAATAATCCAATAGTTTATTTTTCACATGATATTACATTTTGTGAATTTTCTCTAGCGGACATTTAAATTGTAATCTGAACAAGAACCGTTAGATCCCATTAGGCTAAAAAATCTAAGTTTTGTTCAAATTTGTAACTTAAATGTTAAATTTTGAGATGCACTAGAGAAAGCCTCTTACATTTTGACTAAAACGTCACAACAACGGTGAACATGTTCCTTTTAATTTGTTGGTCTGCACTTAAAGTCATGAGTTCGACTTCTCCCTCATTGGATTTTGCTTGTATTAAAAGAAAAACTCTTTAATATGTTAATTTCCAGAATGAAAATATTTTCTTATACAAATAATTCTAATTTATAAGATTACGTGTTTGGAATATTTATATTATATGTCACACATGTGAACGGGCAATATTTTTCAGTTGTGATATTCATATTTTATACGTAAAAATGAATTTGCCCCTCTTCAGCCTCTTAATTACGGTCAAACATCCTCCTTCACAAAAATTAATAATTGTCATTATATTGGGCCCAACAATATTAATTGAGAAAATACAAAAGGTTAATGGCTGCTTCCGTGGGCCATGAAGTACCGTTTGAACGAAGTAGATATTTTTTTTGCAAATGGTCCCAATCCAATCAAAAAGACCCACACGCGACATCAAGGTACCGTTTGGTACGTGGGACGAGACGGAACGAAATTGGACGAGACGTTCAGTCCCACATTTGGTTCGTCTAAAACAGGTGGAACGCGCTGTTCCACGGGACGAATTTTTGATGAATTTTCGTTCCGCCTCACCCCCTGGAACGACTATTTCCACATCCGTATAACACAAAATTATAACATCTCCGTCTCCTTCTTCTTCCTCCTTGTTTCCATCCGAGGGCATCTTTGCTCCATGTCCATCCTGTCCCGTCTGCATACCAAACGATACCTAAGGGTCAGGTCCGTACTACCCATCCTCGCTTGGGAGAGTTGATATCATTAGAGCAAATCCACCCTTAAAAAATGGGTAGGCATTCGGTCCATTTAATTCACTCAATGAACAGTAATATACCTTATAAATAGTAAATTGGCCAAATACTTATCCACCCCTACAAAATGCCTTGGCACCCAGCTCATTTAAAATATTATTAATTTTTTATAAATTTTAAATTTTAAATTTAGTTTTAATTTCAGATATAATTTTTAATCAATCTTGTCCCGCCACATGTCATTATCCAAAAGTACTATTATCTGAAAATATTGAAATGTGGTGTAATATGAAAGATGATGGTTGGTATTTATAGGAAAAATAATAATAATTTTAAATTTTTTGCTGTATTTTTAACAATTTTTATTAAGTAAATTAATCTCATCTAGCCGTTGGGTTCGAATTTCAAATTTTTTTTACCGTTGGAAATCCAACAACCCATAACGAGCCACGTGGCCATTCACGGATCCAAATTGGTGTGCTGAAATGACGAGCCCCACACCAGTTTTTTGTCCAGAATGCACATGTTTTCCACACGCCTGATGTAAAAAAATATGAGTGCATTGTGACGTCATGTTGGCGTCAACATGACGTCACATAGGCCAATTGATTGCTCAACACATTTTGGGTTGGCCTATGGCCTTGCTTGGGCTGAAGGCCAACCTATTAGGTTGGGGTGGAGTGTTTTGGGGGAGTGCCGGTCTATTTTTCACACTTTGAGCCGGCCTAGCCCTTTGCTTTTTGTTTGTTTTAATTTTTTGTTTCTCTCTCTTATTATAATGCCAAACTATTGTCTTCATATTCTACAAAATAATAACCATTAAATTTGATGCAAAATTAAAAATAAAATTTATTCTTAGGGTCGAAAAGTAAAAACGAGCATGCCATTAGTTTTTTTTTTTTTTTTTTAAACAAAAAAATCTGAACAGTTGATCTAGAAATCAAAAGGTCCATATTCAACTACTATTTAATGGGCTGCAATGCTGGTCCCACCGCCTAAAATCTTGTCGGTAACGCCCCCCCCCCCCCACTCGTACTTGTTATGCACCCGCCTAATGCAAAATTCCCCCCAAGAGGTGCTCGGATGTTGGACTTGTGTCTGAGCTCTCCCATGGCCTCTCCTCAGTCCAATTGTCCGAATGGGCAAGCGCCACTTTAATGGCCGGTTTACGAAACTAGAATAAAAACAAGAGGAATTGAATTGAGGTGGAATCAAAATCGGATTCATGTTGAAGCTGTTTACTTAAATATTATGGAATTTGAATAAAAATAGCACTAAATTTATATAAGTTGTTTACTACTTCACCTGAATCGGAATGAAAATCAGTGTGATTACTATAATTCCCTTCTTCAAAAAAAATTAAATTTGTATACAAATTTATTAGAAAATCTATGCAAATCTCATCCTTCCCTGCTTCGGTGCTTCCCTTGGAAGTATAAGTGGTCTTCACGAGAGCCACAATTCTCAATTCTTCCTTGAGGAGACCCGTGGTTTCAATAATGCCCTTATTCAAACCCAGTTGAATAGTATACTCCTATCTCCTTGCAATTTTTCATATCTTTTATCCATGTCCTCACCTTAATCTTCCCCACTCACCCTACCCATAGCCACCACCTCTTCTCCCTGCATAGTGTTTCATAATTTTTTTGGATTTTTGAGTGGTTACTTCCCCACATCTGTGGGTTTCGGTTTGGTTTGAATTGTTTATTTTTAGGATTTGGGTGGTTGATTTTTGAATCCGGTTTCGGGATACGTGGATGGGGTTCTTGAGCTGGTGGGTTGGGTAGTAAAGGTCACACCAGGAGTTGGAACTGGAAGGTGAGGTGTGCCGCATGAAGCAGAGTGCGCAGGGAGCGGTGGGGAGCGGTGAGTTGAGTGGTAGACTTGAAATTATAAAAATAATAAGAGGGCATAATAGGCAAGAAAAATGCATTCCCATTACCTCAATCTCCCGGAACTCAAATACCACATCCATATAGGGATTTCAATTTCTCCAATTTGGGGAGTTGGATTCCCTCTTTCGTGTGAGCCCCACCACGCTTTTGATTCCTCCAAAATTAGTAAACGGTTCAATACTCTGTAATCGAAATTTAACTCCTTGTTTTGATTCTAATTACTAGCACGTAAACACGCTATAAGAGGGGATTGGATTGCAAATAGGATCTGTCCACAGGACAAAAGAGCACGGTGGAATGGACTCTCTTGTTGAGTACGGGCCTAGTGCTTTTGCCGCAGCATAGGAAGTTTCAAGATAATCTACTCAAATCTATATTTTGGCGATTTCTGATATCACCGACAAACAACATAGCCTCCGTCGAATCTCGTACTACAGAAGTACGAAGTACATAGATTCAATCCTGTTTCAAGAAATATCAGAAACTCACAAAGAGAGAGAGAATGAGAATGTCCGGAGGAATCGCGCGCGGTCGTCTCGCGGAGGAGCGAAAAGCGTGGCGGAAGAACCACCCCCATGTCCGTATCCACCGTCGTCCTTCTCTTCTCTCCAGATTATTTGCAATTCAATTTTCATTCGCCCATTATTGCATCGCCTGAAGTTGTCGTTTTTGTGGTTGATTAATTAAATTAGGGTTTTGTGGCGAAGCCGGAGACCGCTTCGGACGGCTCCGTCAATTTGATGGTGTGGCTGTGCATCATCCCCGGCAAACCCTCTGTAAGTCCTTTTCTTTCTTTTTCTGGTCAGAATTTTGCAGGGCATGCAATTGAAGATAGTAAGTTTCGGTTGTTGGGATTTTAATTTGGAATTTGACTTGCGTGATCAGTTAGCCCCTCAATCGGGGCATCAAGGTTTTAGATTTTATGGGGTTTTTTTTATAATGTTATTGTATTTTGTTCTAATTATGTTTCACTGTATAAATTTCTATAGAGAATTGGATGAGGGTTTTTCCAGAAGTTGTTTGCTGGACTGCTTTTTCATACTGTTGTTTAGTTTGTCTATATATATATGTATGTATGTATGTATGAAATCTATTATATTGAAGATAAAGTTCACATTTTTTTAGCTTCATAATGCCGATATATATTGGGAATGCTGATTTTTATGATGGACTGATAGTGGTTGCTTGGTAGCTAGCATAACATCCTTACAAGAAATTTTCGCAATATATTTTTTTTCTTCTGTTTTTTATTTCTTCTATTTTTTTTCTTCTATTTTTTTGGGTATTGATCTTGCTGGTATTGCAGACTGATTGGGAAGGTGGCTACTTTCCACTTACACTTAACTTCAGTGAGGATTACCCCAGCAAGCCCCCGAAATGCAAGTTCCCGCAGGGCTTTTTCCACCCCAATGTGTATCCTTCTGGAACTGTTTGTCTTTCAATTCTCAACGAGGACAAAGTAAGCAATCTCTACTGCTCTAGCTTGTATATGGAGATTGTGTTCATTGATGAAGTCATCCTAACGTGAATTTCTTTTTTCAGGGTTGGAGGCCGGCCATCACAGTGAAGCAAATCCTCGTAGGCATTCAGGATTTGCTAGGCCAGCCTAATCCTGCTGATCCGGCACAAGCCGAAGGTTATCAACTCTTTATCCAGGTCTGTCTTGATCTTTAGGTGTCTCTCAATCACTTCTGTGACTGCTTAAGAAATATGAACTGTGTTGACGATTTCTATCCTGCCGTGCAGGAACCAGCTGAGTACAAGCGAAGAGTGCGACAGCAGGCAAAGCAATACCCACCTGTTCTATAATGTATTGTGCTTTTACTAGATATGACTACAAACTCATTGATTTGGTCAAGGTGGTCATGCTTAAGGCTCTCTGCAAGACGTGATCAACCTTATAAGTATGTTCTCGTTTGAATTGCAAATATGATTTGGTTTTTTTTTTAATGTTTTATAGTCTTTGCTGTTCTGTCAGCGGACATGCTGCTGTGTAAATATTCTCTGTGTTATTGGAAGCTCTGACGCACTTCAAATTAAGACTTCAAAACTCTAGTCTTTTTTTTTTTCTTCCCTTTTCTCTCCGATGTAGCCATGACATTGACCGGTGTCTTTCGGATGTAGCCATGGCATGTGTTATAGTTTGTTGGAGTTCGCAATCAGAGTTACGGAATATATAAGTGATTTTTGCAATTCCCTTTTTTCTAATTCTGGACGACTATTGATTCTGATGTTAGGAGAGTAAATAAACAAAACGAGAAATAAGAAATAAGAACAAGATGAAGAGCGCAAGGAGTGTGAAAATCACTACCAGTGTTACAATCAGAGAAGGCGACTAAGGGAAGGGATGGAATTTGGACCCTTCATCTCCACTCCCTTCTGGAGAAATTTAATGGGGCCTGTATTGAGAATTTGGGGGTTAGGGATTGACTTTTGTTTCATGGAATTCATGTCTTTTGTTTCTTTACCCACTTAGGTTGTTATCATTCATTAACATGTCAACTGCATGTCTGTAATGTACTCCAGGATCCACCTGGCCATTCAAGGTCCTTTTCCTCATCAGCATCCTTCCAGTGACTGAGACTCGGTATCCATTGAATTAGGATTCTCTCCCCTCTTATTCTCATCTTCTCTCTCCTCTCTTCTCACACTTTGTTTTTTATCTTATTATTTCTATGAAAAAAATCAAAATAAGATGTTGATGTGGTTTAATCGTAACCGTTCAAGTAAGAGGAGAGGAAAGGGGAGAGAGATTAGGAGGGGAAAGAATCCTCATTTCCAATTACCCAAGGCATATCAAAGCTCAATTACAACTTAAACAAAAGATTTGAGTTTTGAAATATATACAAAGGGGAACAAATGTTCTCCTGCAAAAAGTAAACAAATGAAAAAATCTTTAGAAGGATATTATCCTGTTTCTATCTCTATATATTTCATGAGGAGCAAACCCTTCTCACTCCCACAAGCATTTGCATATAGCCGATTTGCCAAAAACCAAGAAAAATTTATCGTTGTTGATCTCTCCGGCACTGGTTAGTAATATTTGTGTGTACCTACAGATCTAACATATCGACCACGATATCAACAACACTATCAATAGATACCAACTCTTGATATGTCGTAACACCTGTTGACATTATGTAGATATCGTTGTCGTTATGTTATTGACATGTCATCGATATGCTCCTACGATACTGTGTGCGGGGATCTTCCACAACTCTCCAAGACAATCTCAAACAAATCAGCTTCAGATTCCTCATCAAACTCCAGTTCATGGTTAGGGTTTTGGTTGCCCTTGGTTGTGCACCTGTTGAGCCACTGGGAGTCAATTCTATCCATGGAGAAGAGCTCCATGCTATCTTCATAGAATGCAGCAGCGGAGGATCTCACAAGAGGGCCCCCAAAGCAAGGGTTAGCTGTCCTCTGAGCATTGGCGGGGGCATACTTGAAGGCACTTTGACCAAGGTTGACCAGGACTGTAATGTCAGTGTTTGCTGCTAGGGTTGGATACAGAGGAGTGCTGAATTCCTCTGATTGGCAGTGGATCACGTGCACCAGCTCTGATTCCACAGTGAAGTATACCTTCTTTTGTTTGGGATCAAAACCACATCCAATCACTCTGTCTCTTTTTCCCCATGTTGCTTTTTCAGATTCAAACACAAGTTTCATCCCTGAAAAAATAAATCCAAGTTAAAAAAATGAATCACACAATGTTCTAAAAAATTTAAAATTTTGAAGTAAACTGCAGAAATTGTGGGTGTAGGAAGGTATAGTGTTGTAACAAACACCAAATACTTAATAATCTATTCTTTGTTTTAATAATTGTTTGGCTCATTACACGTAAGGAAGCTGTCACCTTTTTACTGTTAATTAGTCTGATATACATACAAAGATATTTCATTAAAACAAGGATATTTCATTAAAAAAAAAAAGAGACCTTACATACATACTCAACATTTTAATTTGTTTACTGTGATGAGCGACTCCTTACACGTAAAAAGCCAAGTTTTTTTATTTATTAAGTTTTAGCAACCACTCTAAACCTACTTCAGATAGAACAAGGATATGGCAGCATGTAATGGGTCCATACTGACATTAATTTCCAAATTTACAATTCATGAGACACTGCTGTCACAGATTCTTTAGGTGAGATATTTGATTTATTGTTGGTTTGCCACTTTTTCCCTTTCTTTCTTTTTGTGCCAAAAAATAACACAAAACTAGAAACCTCGTGATTTCAACAGTCCTCTCGGTCTTTTTCGGACCTCACTAGCGTGCATAAAAAATCGTAAAGTATTCAGTTTGGAATGCAGCAGATAAAACATGAATGTTAAAATCGCTACCTCGATAATTTGCATACTCATACCTTTTGACCTAGCTAGGACAATGCATAATGCAAGAATACAGTAAAATTAGTGAAAAAGAAGAGAGAAATTCAAGAATTACCATCGAGATGGACAGAGCCATTGGAGCCGAATCCGATGCTTCCCGGATAACTCCCGGGAAGTTTGAGCGGAAGAGCGCCGCCGACGGAGAGTCCAACAGATAGCAACACAGCTTCATTTTTACCATGATGAATATCATCCTTAACACTGAGCTTCAACTCCTCAATTCTTCTAATACTCTGACTACTACTACTTACATGAACCAAAGAATCTGAACTCGGATTCTCTTCGTAGCTCTTCTGAATCAATTTAATCTTCTCTCCTTCCTTGACAATCGACTGACTCATTTCATCACCGCCGCGCGGACTCAAAATCGTGATCTCGAAATAAGCTTCTTGCGGGAAGGAATTGTTTCCGAGAGCAGGGCCTGGCAGAGGCAGCGCAGTTTTTATCACAGAGGCAGCAGAAGCAGCAGTGCCTAATGAATTTGACACTTTTTTCGACCCCGGATTGAGTCGAACTTTCTGCATGAAATCTGCTGATCCCTGACATACTTCCCAGCTTATCTCCGGCTGTGCATCCCTAACTCTCTGATCGCCGGCCGCGCACATCCCCAAAAGTCTCGACCTTGTCGAACCAGAAGACTGATAATTTGTGAAGCCGAATCGTGACCACCCATTCTCGACGGCGTCGGTGACGAACGTCGGATTATTGCCCCAGCTGAACAGCGGCTTCCCGGAAACCCCACGGCCGTAATAGTTGTTTCCGGTCGACATGCTTTTGCTTGGTTGTTGGTGGCGATGAAGCTTTGGAATCCCATCTTGCAAACTCTCTGTCCTAACAACCGTCGTCGCTGCCGCCGTTGTCATCGTGCCACCGCTGCCAGCATTTTGTTTACGCTTCTTGTAACAATTCCATCGCCATAAAACCATCACAACAACGACCGCAGCAACCCCTACGCAGACTGCAACCGCCGCGGCATGCTTCCAACCGAACATGTTTTCAATCTTCTCTCAAATGGGCTAACGAGAATTTTTGTGTTTTTGATTAGGGAGGAGAGGTTTGAAGAATTAAGCGGAGGAGCGCGGAAGGGAGAGGGCGTGGACTAAGAATGGTTCAAGAAAGGCAGGGAGAAGGAGGAGAAGAAACAGAAGAAAGTAATGTGGGCATCGCATGTGTGATTGTGTGGTACGAGTCCTGAGAGATGGGCTAAACGTTTTTTCAAAGGCAGAGACTTTTATTTTTTATTCATTAGTTTGGTGTGTGAACCGACAGCCCTTCGTCATTTAAAAAACGCGTTGGTTGTATTTATTGTGTTTTTGTTTTTTTGTTTTTCTTAGAGGTTGAGACACATGAGAGAACATATTTTGAGAGAAGATCGAATATGAAAATGTAAAGAGTAAATTGTAGTAATGATTCTTCAACTAAAAATTTATTATCATTGGTTCCTTAACTAATCAAAATGTATAGCTATGGTCATTTTCGTTAACTTCATCAAAATTTTGTCAAAATGAATTATGTTGGAATGACAATTGTTACAATTGGATTAAAGTTTGAGGGACCATTGCTCCAATTGAGTTAAAGTTTATGAACCATTTCTCCTGTTGGATTAAAGTTGAGGGACCAACGATAATGAATTTTTAGTTGAAAGACCATAATTGCACGTTTTGATGAGTTGAGGGACCAATGGTAATTGATTTTTTGTTGAGAGACCATTGCTCCAATTGAGTTAGAGTTAAAGGACCATTGCTACAATTTACTCAAATGTAAATGTATGGGTAATTGGGTACTTGTGTTTTCTTTTTCTTGTTTGGTGCAGTAAAACTTCTATAAAGTCATAAGTTCAGACCAAACTAGTTTTATAACTTTAAAAATGTTATTATATTGTCACTTAGTAATACGGTCTAGTGGTATTCCTCTTTATTTGTAAGTAAGAGGTTTTAGGTTCAATTTTTTTCAAAAGCAAAGTTGAACCACATTATTATGACAAGCCTATTGTAAGGTTTAGCTCACTCCCCTACCCCCTTAGACCATGAAGAAAATATATTTCTGGGCTAGATTCCCTTCAGAATTTAAGATTGGCTTAAATTATTTTTGACCCATCAAAATGTCATATTTCAAACTTTTTTTTTGTTTTTACTTATAATCTAACGGTTATGATCAAATGAGATCAAGTCTAATGGTAAAAAAAGATTTGATAGTCCAAAATTAAATCTTACGTCTAAAATAATTTAAGAAAATGATTTAAATCAAATTTAACTTAAAAAATTATAAATACCTATGTATTTGTATGATTTTTAATTATTTATCCGAATTTAAATATTTTTAAATTAAAATATTCATAAAATAAACTAGGATAGTCTGCATAAATTTTATTTTCAAAAAAGTTACCGAAAAAAAAGGCTAAAATCATTATTTAATAATCTTGTGCTAAAAGTTTAAGCCATAAGATCATCTCCAACCTTTTGGGATAAAGCTTAAAAATTTAAGCCAGACAATTTTAAGCCATAACTCAAAAACTGTTTTTCTCTTCCAACCTTTATAGCATAAAATTTTAGGCCGAGATTATTAAATAATGGTTTTAGCCTAATTTTTTTTCAGTAACTTTTTTTTTTTAAATAAAACTTATGTAGATTATCCTAATTTATTTTTATGAACATTTTAATATAAAAATATTTAAATTTCGATAAGTAATTAAAAATCATACAAATACATAGGTATTTATAAATTCTTAAGTTAAATTTGATTTAAATAATTTTCTTAAATTATTTTAGACGTTATATTTAATTTTGGACCATCAAATCTTTTTTTTTGTTACCATTAGATTTGATCTCATTTGATCATAGACATTAGATTATAAGTAAAAAACAAAAAATAGTTAGAAATATGACAGTTTTGTGGATCCAGAATAATTTAAGCCAAACTTAAAATTCTGAGGGGAATCTTGCCCAATGATATATTTTTCTCCCAAAAGTTTATTTTAGCCCAATGGTTAGAGATGGTTTGTGAGGGTTTTAAAGCTTATATTTTAAGTTTTATTCCATGGGTTGGAGATGGTTCAAGGGTTGGAGGAGAAAAGCATTGTCTGGGTTATGGATTGAAATTTTATGGCTTAAATTTTTAAGCTTTATCCCCAAGGGTTGGAGATGTTCTTAATGAATGTTGTATTTACTAAATTTATTGACTTATTTATCCTTAATGAATGTTGTATTTACTAATTAGAAATCTTGAGGATGACAATTATGAAAATATCAAAATTTTCGTGCCAAGAAGCTATAAACATGCTTGAGAGATTATAAACATTGTGGCTTCAACAAGAGGGTGTCCATGTTGATGAAGTATTATGTACCTGCAAGCTTAAAGATGTGATATCAAATATAAAAACTAAAGTATTGTCGCAAACAACTTTAGAGAAATATTTTAGTTCATCCTAAACTTTTATTTGTGATATTGCATATTTTTGTACTCGTCGATAACTAATACTATGTGAATGTGTGTTTTCTTAAGATGGTCCTAAGTTGGGGACTGAATTTTTTTATGACTTTAGAGATGTTATTCTTTGTAAAGTATTACTTTAGAAAAGTTTTACTGTATTTGGATAATGAGAGGGTAAATTGAGTTTTTGGGTACCTGATGGTCTGAGGCTGGTAAAGCTGAAAAAGAATGAAACTGTAGAAATATGTAGCAGTTAGGTGGTTATTTTTCGAATGGCAGTTAATTTGATTTTACGACCTTTATGCTTAGCAGAGCTACAAAATATGCTTTATCCCGATGATCAAAAGTTAAGCCACCTTCAAACCTTCAAAAGTCTTAAACCAAAATCTAAAGGGTAATTATCCATGTGGTGTGGGGGATAAGGCGAGACAGAATCCCTAAGATGGAGGAATATGGTAAAGAAAAAAAGATCCTCTTTGAAAAATCAAACTTTCAAGTCTTGTTTTTCTCTTACTCATGGGACTGGAAAATATGGTGGTTCTTAATTTTCATAAATTCTTTTTCATGGTCCGATAAAATAGTATCTGCCTAATTAGGAACCAAATCCCACTAATTAATTCCCTTGCAATAATGGTATTCTTACCATATTTTTGTATCACAATTGTATACCACTTTAGGTGACATCTGATATAGACAACCACATCATCTAAATTAATTAGCATTTAATTTCAAAATGTTAATCAATAATTAATAAAAAGATTGTTAATTAAATGATGATTGTGGTATACGAGGAGTTTCCTTCTTCCACATTATTTAAGTGTTTTAATTAATAAAAAAGATTGAAATTAAATGATGTAGCTTGACCAACTCATTTGCCACCTAAGATGATAAAAAAATGTGGTATAAAATTGGGAAAATTTGAAATATGTCCAATTGTATAGGCCTACTTTTGAAATAGGTCCAATTTTTAGTGACTTTTGACTTTTGAAATATGTCCAATTTTTAGTGACTTTTGAATTTTGAAATAGGTCCAATTTTTAATTACTTTAGACCCATATCAAAATACCCCTATAAAATTATGGTAAGAATAACATTACTATTTCCTTTTCATTTTAGGAGATATACTAGCTAGATAGAAGGAACATTTACTTTTCACACGTTATCTTTAATTTTCCACCATCAAATTAAATATTAATTTTAAAATGTAAACATATAGTTCATTCATAAGCTACTATTGTAATTTAATTAGAAGGAAAAGTTACCGCGTAGTACTACGGTTTAATTGTAAGTGAGAGGTCTTATCTTCGATTCTTGACAAAGACGGATTTGAACCATATTATTGTTAATTTATTGTAAGAGCAACTCTACCCTTGTGGATTGCTCGGGGGATAGGCGAGAGAAAAGGGCCCGAGGCCCTCTAGATTTGCTCCAGCATGAAGGAGCCCGAGCGAAGGTGGAGGCCCGAGCTCCGGGCATGTGAAGAGTTGACAGCCCGAGAGCCCGAGCTCTAGGCCTTTTTAAATTTTTTTTTCTGTCAGGCGTGTGCACCCCACTGGAGCGTGGGGGCGCGTTGCCCGACAATTTTTCAGAAAAAACATAAGCCTTTTCAGACTTCAATGTTACCGTTGGGAAGCCACGTGGCTTCCCACGGTTCATTCGATCTCAACGGTAAAAAAAATAAATAAAATCTTGTTGATGTACAAAATTAGTGAGGACTTTGGTACAACAGAAAGTGTTAAGTTTATGACCTTCGCTAGATTGCTCTGCTCCTCATCCTCTTCCTTCTCATTTTGGGCTATATGGAGATTGAATATTCCTTCAGATTGGTTAAACAATTCTTCATCTTCTTGATCGATTTCCCACATCATGCTTGAAGAATAAGACATTGAAAGTAGAAACTATGAATAATGATACATATTTTGATTTGGTGAAGAAGGAAGCAGAAACTATGAATACTGATAGAGATATTGAGAAAATTGGTGTGAGATTTAAAAGGATGGATGATGGATTATTATATGAAGGATTTTGAAATGATTAGGGTATAAATAGTGCCACGTGGCATGCCGTCATTCGTTAAAAATCTGATCGAAATCTGTCCTAAAATATTATGAAGAGATAACAACACGTGGCACGATGACATTAGATAAAAATCTTATCGAAATCCATCACCAATAATTATCTTTTCGGATAATGACACGTAGCGCAACGAGAACGATTTAAAACCTGATCGAAATCTATTCTTAAAGATTCTGAAAAGATAACGACACGTGGCACGATGACATTGGATAAAAATCTTATCGAAATCTATGACCAACAATAGTCGTTTGGGTAAATGACACGTGGCGCAACGAGAACGATTTAAAATATCTTATCCGAAATTACAAAAAAAATTATTTAGTATTATTTTGTAAAAAAAAATAATAATAAATATTTTATTGCCTATTGTCAGGGTTATTCAAGTACAAGGGTGGAGATACAAAATGCAATTACTGTTCACATGGTGGATTGAATAGTGGATTGTCTGGGAGGAGGGCTCCAAAGGTGGAGTTGCTCTAAGACTAAGTCACCAATTTTCTTAATGTTGATAATAACGTTTGTTAAAAAAAACAAAAAGGAAAAGTCCACATAAAATATCTTATTTGTCTCAAGTTATGGTTATTTTTGGCTTTTCCAAAAGGTTGGCAAGGCTACACTAAAAAGAGGGGACACCTCCTACTAGATCTGTTGTGTTTTTGGTCAAGCATGCATACAGGATACAACAGTAGAATGAGAATATTTTTTATCACCACCGTTAAGTGATGATTATGTTCATTACTTTATTTATTATCGTTGGACGAGTTTAAATTTTAAAATTTCTATAGTGAATAGACACAAATATCAAATTTAAAGCTATCTAATAATACTAAATAAGATGGTAAACAATATCATCACTTGAGGATGGTATGATAAAATACACCCTCATATAATAAGTAATGGATTCAATATTCAACATGCGTTGCACTAATTTGTATAATTGTATTTAATATACATTGACCTCCTCCTTTTTGTTCTTTCTACATTGTACTCATTTGTATAATTGTATTTAATATATTGACCTCCCTCTTTCCTTTCCTTCTCTCTATGGCACATCCAGCCGCCTACTAGTGATACCTCATTCTATTTAGGGTTTGAAATCTTGTCATTAAGGGCATTTGAAAAATCATATCAATATTTATTTTTATAATTATGTGAGACGTCGTTTACACGTAATTAAATGACTGTCAACTGTTTTATGTGTGTGAAGTTATACACTCACATAAATAACTAATCAAATTGGTGCAATAAAAGTGGAAGTCATAAACATGCAAAATTTTAATGGCTTAAAAAACCTATTTGAACGAGTGAGTGACTCTCAATCGTTAATATATATATATATATATATATATATATATATATATATATATAGGCTAAATAGCCAAAATGGTCTATGAAATTTGCATAACTCATCACTTTGGTCCATAACATTTCAAATCGATAAAAGTGGTCCCTAAGATTATCTACCATCCATCATTTTGGTCATTCCTTTAAAAACTCCGTTAGGTGTTCCAAAGCTCTTGGCCGGAAGTTTGGACAATTTTCAAAACTTCGTAACTCAATCGTTTCAAAACGAAGATAGGAAAGTGTAGAATAAGATTATACTTATTTGGAAGCCCAATGAGTGCCGGAGATAGCCGTAAAATAGTCTCAAAATTGACTAGTCCGAAGTAAAACTGAAAACTCGCAGGAAACTGGGTAAACTTTAAATGTTCATAACGTCTTCAATACTCAACGAAATTAAGTTATTCAAAAACGAAAATCATACTTCTCGATGAGATGAAGAGAACGGTATCTTTTTTGACGGCTAACTCGACGTGGTTTGGCTGGAAAACGGCTCGAAAGTGGCTGTCTTAGTCTCGAGTTAGTCACTTTCGATCTGTTTTTCGGCCAAACCACGGTGATTTAGCCATCTAAAAAGGTACCATTTGCTTCCTCTCGTCGAGAAATATGATTATCATTTTTGAATCACTTGATTTCATTGAGTATTGAAGAAGTTATGAACGTTTAAAGTCTACCCAATTTCCGACGAGTTTTCTAGTTTTCCTTCGGACCAGTCAACTTTGAGTCTATTTTACAGCCATCTCTAGCATCCATTGGGCTTCCAAACAGGTATAATCTTATTCTACACTTTCCTATCTTCATTTTGATATATTATGGGTCGAATTTAGTTAAAAAACGATTGAGTTACGAAGCTTTGAAATTTGCTCAAACTTCTGGGACACTTAACGGAGTTTTTAACGGAATGACCAAAATGATGGATGATGGACAATCTCAGGGACCACTTTTATCGATTTGAAATGTTAGAGACCAAATTGATGAGTTATGCAAATCTCATGGACTATTTTGACTATTTAGCCTATATATATATATATATATATGAAATCTCACACTCGCATAGGCGTCTAATCAAATCCTTAAAACTTATAAACCTAATTTTATTTGCTTAAGACAAAAACTTTCTCTCTACTAACCAAAAACAAGAACAAAAACAAATGATCTGCAGAATACGTAATGGAGACTTATTATTCATTATTTCAGGTATCTTTATGCAAACCGAACTGGTAGCTACTCAACTACAGAACACCCACCAAAGTTGTTCACTTAATTCCTTATCATTCACCATAATAATTTAAATTAGTGACATAAATTATTAGTTATCAACCTGTGCCTAATCATCTCAATTATGTTATATAATTGACTTGCTTTTCCGGGGTCCGTAATGGCTGAGGTTCAAAGAATAAAGGATTAAAAATAATTCTGACGGAACTGCCATGAATCAAGGAGGACATAATCAAAGATTAAATTGACCGTTAATGGATCCTTAATACGATGATTAACTTTTGTTTATGCTAAGCACAGTGCGTGGATAGTACTAATCCACAATCTCCGAGGACTCACTCAACCAATGCATACTGAATTGGTCTTAGGGCACTCTCATGCTTATAGTTTTCTTTTTATGGTGTGAGGCCACTTCCATGCTTATAATAAATCTCATAAATTGAACTTTTTTTTATTTATATAATCGATATCTTACATGAAGTGAGGAGGGAGGGATTCTAATTCGATTATGCATAGAAAGGAGCACATCTGTTTTATGATTCATTTGAAAGTATTTTTGAAATGACTGAAAGTGTTTTTGATGAAATTATTTTTTGAATTCGAAAGCACTTCAAGTGTTTTCTGCAAGTAGCACTAGTTATGTGCTTTTTTGTTTTTCCAGGAGTCACTTGCAATTTTACTAAAGAAACATTTCAAAAGCACTTTCTAACGTGCTTTTAATCAATGTGACTACAACAACATCTACAAAGTAAAAAATGAGCAATGAAAAGATTGTTTTATGGACTAGGTGTCAAATTGGAGTCCGGATTCTCGCCGGATTCTCTTTGTGAGATTCTGGGAATTCATAAATCATGTATGTTCATCGTATATCGTGCGATCAAAAATTATTTTAAATATTTTTATTTAAAACTGCGTAATGTATGATAAACGGACACGATTCAAGAATTTCCATAATCCTCACCAAAAGAATCCGGAAAGGATCCTGTTGAGTCAAATTGGATATGGTCCATAGAAAGTAGGAAGCAACCCTGTCTGTCTACCTATGAACTTGCAAATGGCAAAAGAACTTTTGAAAAAGGAAAAGAGAAAGTGCATAGCGATAAGAGAGCAAAAGAGAAGAATGAAAGCCACCATTAAGGATAATGACCTGCAAATAGTGAAGCCTTTTTATTGCACAACATTTCCAAGCAAAACCATATAAGTAAGAGCTCATCCATTTCATTTGTCTCTCTTCTTGTAGACAAAGTTAGCCACTAGCTATGATTGGCTAGGGTTTCTTAGGAGGATAATCTAGGATTTGGGAAGAAAAAAAAAAGGTCTTGCATGCCACGAAAGTCTTAGACGTCAAATGTGCATCACCACATAATCACTACTCGTTGTGATGTTTTACAAATAAATGAAGTAGGGGTAGATATGGTTCAATATGGATCAATGTAACACACAAATCACAGTTAAATTAATACTATCTAGCACTTGGGTTTAGTATGTTTTAAGTAAAATCATGAGCTAGATCAAACTAAACCGAACCATTATTAGGTGGTTTGGTTTGATTTGGTTTGACTGGTTGGAGCCTAAGCCTAACCCCGTTTTGTTTGCATTTTGTTTAGTTAGTTTGCCCATTTCTAGACCATACTCGCATTCTTTTAACTTTACAATTTAAATTAAGTCATGTTCTTCTCTAATTTCTAAATCTCTAACTTTTTAAATTTCATTGTTTCATAAAATAACCAAAAATCATGGGATACCACAACCTCTCTTTGTACAAGAGATTCGCGCTCGTTTTTTTACATATGATTCAATTGGAATAAATAACTTATTAAATTAAAGGTATGTTGAACGGAAAAATTACAAAATTATGAACTCCAAGAGGAAAAATTATAAAATTATGACCACCAAGAGGATAGAAGATGAATTACTCATGAATAAAACTTATCCATTATAATCCTCCTTAAAATGGTGCGATTAGAAGGGATGGATTTCTTTCTTATATAATCTCATTCTGATCCACTTTCACCTTCAATATACCTTGAAATTTGAAAGTTTTCCATTCCAATCCAATCATGTGAACCAAATGAACTTTTACAGTGTAAGTAAGTAATTCGTTTGACGCCTCACTCTCTCGTATAAATATAAAATAAATAAATAAAGCTTCCAAGTGGTGGATTTCTGTGGTGAAAATGGTCTCCCTTCAAGCTAATATATTTTTGGTTCAAATCCTCCCGCTCTTGATAGTACCGTCGGTTAGGGAAGTAATATCGCTTGTGGTCAGCGGAAAAAAAAATCCGGCAAAGGCCCAACACCAGCAACTGAAAAAAAAAGCCCATTGACAGCCATGCAGGCTTCATTTTTTTCATGCTAAATCTGTTCATTAAGAAAGGCCGGTTCTTGAGTTTCAGCTGATCAATTTGGATGATGCCCCATTCATCCGAAATGGATCATCTTAACTTTCCGAAGCATTCTATCCCCCAGACGAATTCATCACAGAAAGCATTCAAAAAAATCCCGGCAACGAAGGAGGAGGCACACTCACTCACTCACTTGCAGTCTCACACACTGACAGAGTTGCCTCCATTAATGAACCATGAAGCTAAGCTCCTCTGCACCTTTCCCTATAAACCCTTCCCTCCAATTTCCCTCCATTCCTCCCACTCCCCCTTCTTCCATTCAAAACGCGCTTTTCAACCCCAACCCATCACCACCACCGCCGTCACCTCAACCACTACGAATTGCCGCTGCGCCGTCATCAAGTCATCCGCAAGCTCCGAAATCGACATGGTGCAAAACAAGCAGGGCATATACATGCCGAAGCAGAAGAAAGTCGTGATCTTGTGGGACCTGGACAACAAACCCCCTCGCGGGCCGCCGTACCAGGCGGCGATGGCGCTGAAACAGCTAGCCCAGCGCTTCGGCGAGGTCGTGGACGCGTCGGCCTACGCCAACCGCCACGCGTTCGTTCATTTGCCGCAGTGGGTTATCGAAGAGCGCCGCGAGCGGAAGCAACTGGATATTTTGGAGCGCAATGGTGTGGTAACGCCGCCGGAGCCGTACATCTGCGGCGTCTGCGGGCGGAAATGCAAGTCGAATTTGGATTTGAAGAAGCATTTCAAGTAACTGCACGAGAGGGAGAGGCAGAAGAAGCTGAATCGGATGAGGTCTCTGAAGGGGAAGAAACGGCAGCGTTTTAAGGAGCGGTTTGTTTCTGGTAATCACAAGTACAATGAGGCTGCGAGGTCTATTATCAAGCCGAAAGTTGGGTACGGGTTGGCATGGGAGTTGCGGAGGGCGGGGTTTTTGTGAAGACGGTGGAGGATAAGCCGCAGGCGGCGGATTGGGCGTTGAAGAGGCAAATGCAGCATTCTATGAGCCGAGGGATTGATTGGTTGTTCTTGGTTTCGGACGATTCGGATTTTTCCGATATGTTGAGGAAGGCTAGGGCGGCCAAGTTGGGGACTGTGGTAGTTGGAGACATGGATAGAGCTTTGGGAAGGCATGCTGATGTTTGGGTGCCGTGGATTGGTGTCGAAAATGGGGAGGTTTCGGAGAAGGATTTAGTGCCCAGAAGGAGAAGTGAGTTCTTTGATGGGGAGGAAGATAATGGTGATGAGTTGTTTTCGGATTTTGGTTTTGATGGTGGGGTTGAATTGGACAATGTGATGGATGAACTTGTGAGAAGCTCTCAGTCTAGTGGACTGAGGATTTCTGTGTTTTCGGAAGGGGAATTGGAAGGAGGAGAGCGGGTGGAAGGCGATTCGGATAGTGAGGAATATCAGTTTGATAGTGAGAATGAGGATTCAGACGAGGAAGATGGGTTTTTTTGATATGGCAAAGCTTAGATAGTTTTGGTGATTGAACTAGTGGTTCGATTGCTAATCTGTATTCGAAATTGGAAGAATTGAATTGAGGGGGAATTGAATCGAGGAAGAACTGAGTTGAGGAGAATCAGAATCCTGATTTACGTTGAACAATGCAGCATTGGGGTGTATAGGAATACATAAAGTCGAGGAAGGGCGCAATTTCACAATGTAAAGTGTTCAGATGGTTTCTTGGCTTAAGAATTCACAGGATTTGTATGATCAGATATTTGTTCTTCATTGTACACAATTTGAAGGTTCCAAATTTCTTTCGTGTTATTACACGTCCCTTGAATTAGTTTGAATTCGATACGATTGTTTGATCTAAGTGTAATTAGTAATCAACCAACTAAATTCCACCAGAATAGTCTATCAATGCTGAGTATGACATTGCATCTCATCTGTTGTTTTAACTTTTGCCTCCTGCTTATTCTTTAAAATGTCATTTTTTGAGTAATTAGAGATGATGCAGTTATAACCTTCTCTTTTGCAATCAAATTAGGCTCACAATTTCACCAAGGGTCTGTTTCACAGTTGATCTGAACATCGTGTTTCCAACTACACGAGGCTCTTTAGAGCTGCCCCATCGAGGGTCTCGGAGTCAAAGACCTCACCGGCGATAATCTTGTTTGCAATATAGTTTTCTTTGTTCTGTTTGCCAGTTCTTTCATGGTGACTTATGTGATTTCTGTCAAATGATGGTTTGTGAGATAAAATTGCTTGTTCGATAAGCAAGCATAACAATCTGAGAAGCATTGTGTTTTTCTGATGCAGCTTACTGCCTAAACGAACCATCCAATCTAATCCTAGACACTAAACGAACCCTACGGATAAATAATTTGACTTTTTACTTGTTTTCCTTGTTAGGAGAACCTTTATAGCGCAGCCAAATGACATTTCTACATATCATATGTGAAATGTTTTTAATCCAAAGTTTAATGTTAAGCTGTCCATCCAATATAACTTGTGTGGCGTGCCAAAAAAATGTCATGGAATTCTACCATCCTGGCTTGGAGATAGCAGAAACCCTAACCAGCCTGGCGGAGCACTGGAGGTTTTCGGCATTAAGCTTCCAGGTTTGACCCGGCCGACATCATATCAAATTGTTGATCAGCATTTTACTTTCGAACAACACCTAATTAAGATTTAGATACCATATACAAATTAAACAGCTCAGTTTCCCTATCGCTTGTTTAGTCTCTAATCATTTAACTACTCTTGTAATCACTCAATTATACACGTAATGCTTTCCAGGTTTGTCGACAACTCTCTTTGGCTTAATTCTGTATTCTTAATTAGTTGGTGAGTTAAGAATCATTATATGATACTTAAAATAATCAGCAACAGTCCGGAAGAAATTGAAAAAATTCTTGGGAATCCTACAAGATCCATTTGTTTTTTTTTCTCTGACACATGGTCATAACTTCATCTGGTTTCAAAATCCTACTAAGAGGTCCACTACCGATCAGTAATTGTTGAAGAAAAAACAAGATGTTTCTTTTGTCCCTTCTAGGTGATCGGAAAATAAAGAAATAGTTAATATATTTCAAGATAATTACGTATTTACAAAATACCGTCCCAATTCATCCTATTAACTTTTTAAGGAATCCTTCGTCGATTGTTGTGAATGACTCTTAATCTTTTTCGACCTTGGTTTCGTAAGAACAAGTTAGAAAGATTGAGAAATAGACCCATTTGATTTGATTCGTTCTCAATAATCATGAGATGATCATGATGATATTATTTTATCCCTGCAAGGACACAAACCGACATCCAGGCAGAGACAACCTGAAAAAAAAAACCCAAGGACAACGTTAATAGTTTTTTATTATTTTTGTATTAATAATTTTGCACATTTTCGTTGGTTTTGGTGGGTAATTTCCATTTTTTTAATTTTTATTTTGGCTGCCAACTGGAAATCTAGCAAGTAGGCCAGCTTGGTGAGCCACCACATCCCACTTATATAATAAAAATAAAAAATAGAAAATGAAGTAGAGAAAGTCATTCACGTCGCCTAATAAATTTTGTTTTGCACAGTGCCAAAAACAGGTTGTCGACTCTGTAGCTTAAAAATTCAAAGGATGGGACAATAATCGACCTACTTACCTGGAACGGGAAGTCGGCACTTTAAAAGACGTAAAATGGGCACAATTATATGTCACATGCCATTTTATTATCGTCAACTTCACGTTTCATTTTGTGCTTTTTCCAACCGCCATAAAAAAGGAGGATGGATGCAATGAATTTGTTAAATTGTTATGAACAAGCGACTTTATGCAACGCGACCCTTAGTTGCATATGCATTCATATAATAATGGGGTCTTTTGATATGGGTCCAATTGGACTAAAAATTAGACATATTTTAAAAGATGGGCTATAAAATTGAATCTCTTTCAAAATTTCCCTATAATAATATAATATAGATTCAGTATCTAAAATCTCCTAAACTTATAATGTTATTATAAATTCGTCTCAATTTTTTTAATTATTCTAAACAAGTATGCAACATGTTGAAAATGTCATATTCATTAAGCTCAGTTAAAAATCTGTTAAATTAACTAGGACTTACTTTATCTCCAACATCAGTAGAAGGTCATAGAAGCATAGCCTCCGCCAGTTAATGGTCACCATCACCCCCATCAGGCCGCTACATCTAAACTCAAGACAAAGCCACCAACTCCACCACCCTACAACTCAAGATGACAACATCAAGAAGAAGGTCACAGAGGTTTCTGAAATGGTATGGACTGTCGTGAGGTTGCTACTCCAATCTTCACCGTTCACAAGAAGAATCATAAGCTTTACGAATCGAGAATCGGTGAATGGGGAAATCTCATGAGCAGAAACAAGTTCATTGAAGCCCTATCTGAATCCTTTACTCTCTTATTTATTACGAAATTGACAATCCTGATGTAATTTCAATTTGAGTACATTTTTGATTCAATTCAAACCCGTTTGAAATTTGATTTCAAGGCAACTAATATTATTGTTGACCATGATATAATCATTTGTTCGGTTTTGAATATAATTTATATTTTAAAAATTAATTGGAGCCTAATGGATGTGACATTTCCAATACGTTAATTACTTGCTTGAAATGTTTAAAAATATTAAGATCAATTTAAAATGACACTAAAAGATTAAAAAAAATGTAAGTACTTAATCTTATAATAATTGATATCGGTGATTTGATAATGTCCGTAAATCTACGTACATTTAAATATTAAACGATTAAGAAAAATATATGTTCTACAGATGGTGTGCGCCTACAAAGTAACTCATTCCACCGCGGTTGGATTATTGTATTGTTTCTGTATTAAGGCGGTGCACGGTAGGTTTTGTACATAAGTTTTCAAGGGTTTGTACTTTGAAGTCAAAATGCAATTTGACCACCTCAAATAATTATTCCACAAACCTCTCAAAACCCTACACGTGCCAAAAATCGTTGGGTTCAGGTAGCCCCTGGGGAAAGGGATAAGAGAGATCTCTTCTACTTAATCATTCTCATCAAACAATCTAAATATTTGAAATTTAATCTAATGGCTAAAGTTATTATAACTTTTAAAATTGACCCGTGTTTTTAGCCATTAGATCAAGTTTTAAAAACCTGAATTGTTTGATAAGAAATATTAGGTGAAAGGAATCGGAAGATAATCCTATTCCAGCCCCTGGACAGGAAGCTCTCCAATACCCAAATACAAAAGGAGGATAATATTATAAAACAATTTTGTGGAGGCAGTATTTAGGACATTAATCAAATTATATTTATGAATAATAATACAAGAAACGTAATACATTCGACACATGAATGAGTGTATGGCAAAACCAAGTGGCATGGTCGTTGGAAATAATTTGAACCGAACTTTATTTTATAGTATCGCTTTATTAATTTCCCTATTTTCCACAATTCCACAAGTTGAGGTTGCCATCCGTCCACATCCATCACCGACTTCTTTCATAATTTTGATGGTCCTCAATTCCCTATATATTTATGACTTTGCAAGTGGCAACATAAAAACGACTGTGACGATTCATGTTCTAATAATAAAAATGTATGGATTTTGACACGTAAGAAGTCATTTTTCACCAAGTTTAAGTACTGATTTGGTACTAAAGTATTGGTTATAAAAAAAAGTTGAGCTCAAAAAAGTGTTTGGTAAATACTTAAAAATAACTTATTTTCACAGTTTTGGATGAAAAAAGCTAAAACGTGAAGCAGCAAAAAATTAGTTTATTCTCACATCACAACAAAAGCAGTTTTTTTTTCTTCAAAGCACAGCAATACCAAACCAAGTGTAACTTGGTCTAAAATATCCATAATATCCCGGTATTTCCATCGAAATTTCCGTGTTTTTGGACTACCGATATTTTTTTGGACTACCGATATTTCCAATATCATCGATATTTTAGACCTTACTAAGTCACTCATGTATCTTACCATGCAATGTATAAAGTGTAAAATATTATACTAATTCATTATATATAAATGATTATGGTGTGTTTAAACTTCTTTCATTAATTACTACATATTTTCTACACTCACAATGTTTGCCAGCTCGCTATATAATCAACTCAAATCAGCTATATCTATCATGCAATGCATTTCCTTCCAATTTTTTGTGATAAACTAATAGATAATTGACTAAATAAACATCCTACAAAGTTTCAATAAAATTTCAAAGTTTTTCTTACAATTTCCGTGGTTTTTATTCAATTTTTATCGATATCGATAATATCCCGATATTTCCATCGAAATTTCTGTGTTTTTGGACTACCGATATCATCGATATTTTATACCTTGAGTGTAAGCAATAAATTGTCTTGGTGTATAAACTATTTTTCATCACTTACGTGTTATGCGAGCCAAAAACGATACGCTCAATTCCACATTGATTCGATCTTAAATTGAATTATGAATTTTTTTATAGGAGCTGCCGAACTAACAACTCTATTAAAAAGTAGAAATACCAGCTTTTGCATGAATTTTTAAGTGGATTAGATCAGTCGAGTTGTTTCATTAGGGATGGGATTGCACTTATTTATGGATTGAACCGGATTCAAGCTAATAACTTTAGTTTATAGTAGTAACACATGATCTGTAAAAAGTCATGCCTCATGCACGATTCTAACATGATAAATTTGACGATTACACATTCACAAGTGACACCTCAAAACATTCTCGATTCATATTTAAACGAAACGCAAACTTTGCTAAACAATGAACAACATCATTCTCCTTACAAAGAGTGCTCAAACTCAGATACATCGCAACAACTGAAAAGGAAACTTTTGCAAAACCATTTGATTCGTTATGAATACTTTTGAGTATTGGTTACATCCAGAGCTTAAATTCAAAACATACCATCATTGATGTGTTTTATATTATTACTCTTGAATTAGTAACATCAAATACGACATTCCGGTAGAACTCATAATTTCTCTATTTTAACAAACGGAACCGGATCCCCTCTTGAGCTTAGGAAATTGAGTCTCCTGAGTAAATGATCTGGGCCGTTAAAATTTGATCTAACAGTTACAAACAAGGGACTCCTCTAAAAGTTATAATAATTACAACCGTTGGATCAAATTTTAACAGTCCAAATCATTTGCTCAGAAAGCTCAGTCTCCTAAGCTCATGAGGGGATCCGGTTACTTAACAAACAAATCTCAGCAACAATTTCATTTGATTTTTTTTAGATTTTTTAGTACTACTAAGTGGATTGCGTGGAAGTGCAAACATCCACCCACGTCGGCTTTCACATACCCATTAAAACTGCTTATGTCGGTCCCACATTCGTTAAATAAACTACAAAATGCCTTTTCAGACACCCTAAAAGAAGAAGAAAGATGAAGATAAAAGCATGAAACGCAGTGTTTAGCGAGAGACAGAGGGCGCAGAAGAGAGAAGCGTGGGGGAAGGAGTTCATGGAATATGTCGGCCATTTTTGGATTTATCTTCAAGATGCATCAACGTGGCGGCCGTGCCCTGACGACAGACTAGCAGCCAAATGAGAAAATTAACCCCCTCTATCTGTTTGTATAAATTCCCCCTGAAATATTATACAATCTTAACTCTCTGAATTCCAACTTTTTCTTCTGATATTTTTTTTCATTTGGATTTTATTTTTATTTTTTGTATTTTTAGGAGATATAGCTTTTGAAATAATCACAACGACATCAGAAAATCAAAGGGGTCGGATTTATATATATTTTCATATTTTAGATAGTTTAGTTTCTTGCCATGGAAGGCGATTACTGCTGCTCTTCGTCGTCTTCTTCCTCAACGTCCACGAGCATGGAGAAGCGTAAGCATCCTGATCACCGCCAAGAAAAGCAATACAGAGGAATACGGATGAGGAAGTGGGGGAAGTGGGTGGCGGAGATTCGAGAACCCAACAAGCGCTCTCGAATTTGGCTCGGCTCCTACACGACCCCCATGGCTGCCGCCCGAGCTTACGACACCGCCGTTTTCTATCTTCGAGGCCCTTCTGCCCGCCTCAACTTCCCGGAACTTGTATTCCAAGACGACGGCCAGCAGCTCCACGACATGTCGGCGGCTTCGATACGGAAGAAGGCTACGGAGGTCGGGGCTAAGGTTGACGCTGTTCAAACCGCTCTCCGCTCATCGCCGACGTCGCAGTCCAAAACAACGTTGAGCCGGGGTGGCTCTTTGAAGCCCGACTTAAATGAGTACCCCGACCCAGAAAACTCCGATGAAAGTTAATTGAGAAGGCCGACCGATCACCAGCTGTTTATTGTTATGAGTAGGTATTTAGGTGTGCAATAAAGTGAAAATACAGAGAAGGTGTTATTGGGTCCGATCAGGAAATGGAATCACAAGAATTCCGTTTCGATTGGTAATTTGATGTAGTTTCTAAATTGTAACAACAAACCAACTGAAGGGCGATCAGTAATGTTTCTTTTCTTGAAATTATAGTCTTTGAATTTTATGGCCTTTGTGACGGAATTGCAGTATTACGTGGTGTTACTGTTTCATTTCTACCCAAATGATATTTACTTTTTGTGGAATTGAATCGATTCATATATGCCTCAATTTTTTGGTTGCTAATCTTACTTGTGTTTAGGGAAGATTTTTGTTGGGTGTGGATACGGTGGCTAAGCCTAGAAGGGTCATCGGTTTTGCATGTTGTTTGCTGGGCACTAGGGTTTCTCAGTTGAGAAGTTTTTCACCGTAACTATCCTATCGATCCATATATCGATAATATCAATGTTATGTACTACAAGTCAGTGCAACGAAACAGAAGTTAAATTAAAGAAATATTTGTTATGTTTTACTTCCGGTCATTTTTTCCGACCATGGAATTGCCAAACAAATAGAAGAAGATAAGGAGATAAGGAAGAGTTGGGGCACCAAGGACGGGTATGTGATGACGTGTTTGTGGTGTAAAGTATGATGGAAGGAGAAATCGAAGATGGTCCTTCAATCAGAGAGGTTGTCACTGTCATAAGACGAGTAGACTCCGTACGATAATGGAAGTTTACGACATGCTTTGTTTAATGGAGGTTGATATGTTGAGATGGACGGTGGGCGGTGATCCTTTTAGAAAAGGGAAAAAATATCTATTTATTTTACTTCTTTTGCTTTTGTTTTAGTGGTAGGACTGATTAGATTTGTATTATCATCAGGGTGATTTCAGTTCGAAAACCGAACCAAAAGGGGTGGTCAAAAAATAGAACTGAACGGTTCGGGAAAAGGGTAAAATTTGAAACCAAGCCGATATTTTCAATTTTCCCGAAATTTGTTAATACCGAAATAGTTTCGATTTTTGGTTCGAGATCAGTAATGCGCCTTCAAGCCAAATTTGTTGGGCTTCTAATTTTATCTCGTTTTTTAGTCTAAATCGAAATTTTGGAATCAGAAATCCCTAATTTTAATCAAAATCAGAATCCCAAATCGAAATCAGAGTTCCCTAATTTTAATTCAAAATCAAAATTAAAACCCTAATTCCTATTGTAGAATCCGAAATCGAAATCAAAACCCCCTTCACTTTAATTTTAATCAGAATCCCAAAACGAAATCAAAATCAAAATCCTTAATTTTAATCCAAAATCAAAATCAAAATTTTTACACCTAATCCCCGTTTCGGAATCTCAAATCGAAACCCAAATTAGATTTGATGAATCAAGGTGAAATTTCTTACCTTGTGTAGTGTAGTAGTCAGAGTGAAACATGACATAAGTTAAGAGATAGAGAGTCGGAGAGGAGTTTCGAAATAGAGAGTTGGTGAATGGTGTGGCCGGAGTTGAGATTCTTGCGACAGAGAATTAAGGGAGGAGGAGAGATTTTCAAGAGATAGAGGTGGGGAAAGGAGTCGAGACAGAAATGAATGAGGTGAGGTCGAGAGAGAGTTGAGTTCAAATCAAAGCTTGAGATTAAATCTCAATCAATCTAACAGTTATAACAATTTATAATCTTATATATATATAATTAAATTCAAATACAATATTTAATTTGGTTCAGTTCAATCTTACCGAACAAACAAAAGTGTGTTATTACATGTACCGAATGTTTCGGTTTAGCATTTCATTATTGGTATGGATCAACTCAATTTCAGTTTTTTGGTATTTTTTTCCACCCCTAATTATTGTTATTGTTTAATCAAACCTTGGTGTATGACTATGGAGAGCAAAAAATTTGTACAACTATTTGATTAGAAAAATTTTCACACCAAATTAAATGTAATATCAATTAAAATCCAAATATTGGAGATTTCATGGTAAGTGGTGTCCGACAAATAATGTGGTTGGGTACGCATTCAAGTTTTCTTTACCATATGATCTGCATTGAGGACCAAAAACTGAGTTAAAAGTTTTTCCTTTCTCTACCTTGGTGACAACCCTAACCTTGAAAACCTCCAGCCACCGGTCCCTTGCTTAGGCTTGGGCCGGCGGCAGCCCCTCCCACCTCTCTCTAGCTCCCCCTCATAGTCTTTCTACCTCTTGTTTCCACTCCCCTCCCTTGCTGCAACCCACTCATTTCCCTTCCATCCGCACCCCGACCCCCTCCTCTCGTTGTTATCTCTTCCTTCCATTTTCCTTGGTCTTACCATAACTTTTCCCCCGCACTCTTCTGTGCGCAACATGTTTCTCTTGGTGTCGTAATGAGCCTTCGACTCACTTTCCCAATTTATTATTGCATAGGCTCTTGTTTAGGCCTTAGATCTGGGATTTTGGGTGGGTTTTGGTTTGTTTTATGGTTTTGCCTTGCTTTTCGGTTGTTTTGCTCTTCTGGCTTGGATGGTGATGTTCATGTAGCTCCTGAGTGGGGTTTGCACTTAAAGTTTCCCGGTGGTGGCTTCCTGGGCACCGTCATAGTGGGTTGCATATTTGCAAGCTGTTTTATATCGGTTGTTTGGACATCCGAGGGCTCTACCCTTGGAAATATCGTTGTGTCCTCTTTGGGTTTGTGGTGGTGGTAGGGACGACGGTTTAGTGGCGTGGGTGGTCTTGGTTTCCCCTCTTCCATCCATGTCGTTGCTGCTTTTTCTTGCCATTACTGTGACCAACTCCAATCACAGGTATCGCTGGCGGCTCTTGTTACTTTCATGTTGGGTTTTGGTTTGTGGTGGAGTTATCGACGACTGCGATGGCTCTGGCTGGATTCCTTTCCGCCCTACTTCTCTGAGTCCGTCTCGACTTCTGCTGGCCTCGCACACCTCCCGACATTTCTGAACGTGCCTCTGCCTATGCTCCCCACGCCTACTGCCAACTTGCTGCTGCACCTTTATAATTTGTGTTGCTTCTGCGATTTTGTAACCTGCCTATTTCACATGGGTTTTGGTGAAGGTCTCGGAACTTGTTATGTCACTCATGGGACATTTCTTTCTCGGGACTACTTGTTTGTTCTAGTGGTGTGTTATTTGTAGGATCGCCGTATAGGGGTTTTAAAAAATTATTTGTAATTTGTTTTTATTACCTTCAGATCAAGAAATTGATCACTGGAGTACATGTACCCATATGATATCTTTGTAAGTGTTTGGTTATGGTAATGAAATTATATCGTCTCTGTTAAAAAAAAAAAAGATGATTTCCTTTTCTCTTCTTAATTTGTTTGCCAAAATCTGCGGCTGCTCCTAACTGTCTCCAATCAAATTTTGACTTTCTCTTTGTTTTTCATTTCTTATTAGAATTAAATTTAATCTGCGATGTTTATGGATCTTGCAGGGCCAATCGTTCATCATCTTAATTTGTTAATGCAACACTACAAATCTGCTTTAATTGTCTTTTAGCCAAATGATTAAATTGTACTTAGTAATGAAAATACCTTATGACTTCCAAGAAATATCCATGCTTCAACTTTCTTTATTTGTTTTTAGGTTAGCATATTCTTTTTTATTAGGGAATCAAAGTTCACCAATTTTATTAATCACAGATGCTTTTGGGTAGTTATTTATTTGCGTATTGCGGTATGATGTCTAAGTCAAAAGATATGACAAAAACAAATACTAAGTTCTTAAGGAATAACATGATAATTAATAGCAGTTTGCGCTTCAAGTACCATCGTTTAGTGATAAGAGATGCTCGTGTTATGTTGCCCAAGTGTTAATCGGAAATGCATATACAAAATGAACTATAGGGTAACATAATTTGTCAAATATCTCATAAGAATTAATGGTATTCCGGCATTAAAGTGGTTATTCATTATAGATGTATATTAAGTTTTAAACAACCAATTAATCAAGGATTCAAGACAAGCCAATTATATGGGCTTGTCTTCTCCAACTTTGGTATGGCTTGATTTCCCTCCGATGACAGTTCGTGTTGTTTTGTTTTTCAAACTATGTTGGCTTTCCTAGTTTCCGCTTTTGAAATTAATGTACATCTCGGCATACATGTGTGTCTTACTATCCTTTTTTTAATTATTTTTTTATTTTTTAACTTTGTGATGTTGCTTGTTCTGTTTTAAGGTTTAGACCTTTAGGTCCATCTTTAGAGGGGTTAGGTTTCATGTCCCCCTCTTTTACTTGTTTCTAGATATGTCCCCAGGCCAAGTCCTTTTCTGCCTGTGGGAAACCAAGCAATTGATTCTCCCCCCTTCTTTTCATGTATTTATTTTTTTTATCCTTTTTCCTTGTATTATGAGGAGTTAGATTTATGTCTCCTTGACTAAATGTACCATATTTTCGATATCAATAGAATTTCACTCATACCCTACTGTTTTCTTTAAAAAAAAAAAAAAAAAAAAAAAAAAAAGGCCAGTATCCCTATTGAGAAAATGCATGGCAAGATCTTCTGCAACTTCTGCTTAAACTTGATTAAATGCCCATGTCTTTTATGACATCTTATCCTTCTTCATTAGAAATGCCTCAGCGTATAGCTTGACTTTACAGAAAAGAAAGCATTTCGGTGGCGCGTACGGGGGAAAAGGATCCTATCCAGATCCGTTCCACCAAATCCATCAATCCAAGCCATTGAAATTTGATTTAATGGCTAAAAATAGGGACCCCTTTAAAAGTTAAAATAACTTTAGCCATTGGATCAAATTTCAAGGACCCGGATTAGTGGATTTGGTAGAAGTGATTCGAAGAGGATCCCTTTTCGTGTATGTGTATTATGTAGCGGACAGACTCTTCTTTACGGATAACATGCATTTTTTTATCCATAAAACCCACATTAATTAATTTCTAAAATAAGAACACACTTTATAGTTTGCTTCTCTCCCAAAACAACAGCATTGTGTTCAAATTTATCCACATTTTAAGT